TTTTTTTTTCTTTTTTTTTTCTTTTTTTTTCCCCCTTTTTTTCCCTTTTTTTTAATATTATAAAGTCAGGTATCTTTTTTTCCCTTCTCTTCGGAGCTTCAGGCTGACCAGTCCTGCTTAACACTGAGTTGTCAAATCCTCTTGTATAGCAGCAGATCCAGCTAGAGTATCTCTTTACTGCAGGTCTAGTAAAATGGCCCAAAGGGGAAAGCCAACCCTAATGGAGGAAGGTTAGAGAATTGTAATTTCAGTGCAGAAATTGCAAGTGGAGCAAATTGGCCTCGACCAGCTGAGTAGAGGGTTTTAACTCAGGGCATCAGTAAAGAGTTGGCCCCAGGTGGTGATCACTGATATTCCAACATGCAGTAGCTTTTGGGACAGGTGCCTGTTGCACTTGCTGACCTTGCGTGTTTCCACATGCAAGGGAACATTGAAGAACAAGATTATGGAGAAGGAGACAGATTCTTCAGCTGGAAACATAAGGTGGTCATGCTTTTCAGAAGAACCTTCTGCAGGGAAAGCCCAATCCTCTTTGCCTTATATTTGGGTAAATCCTGTTGATAAATGATTAGCGTTAGAAGCATTGGCATTAATGGCAAATAGAAAGAGTAGCAGTGAATCATTTCTGCTTTAGTCTGCTTTAGCATTTCAAGAGAGGAAGGGTTTGAGAGGCCTCAGAAGTAGGTAGGAGTTTGGATGTTATTTGTCTCCAACAAACCCATGTGCATTGCCTAATGACTTGCTTTTGTTTAGTGTAGAGTTGGAACCTCTTTTTTTCTTMTTTTAGTGTTTTTTTTTTCTATCTAAAGAAATTTGCACCTCAAAAGAAGGGACAAACACTGCTTTTGAGTTACTAAGTCATGGAAAACCTGCTGCCTAAGCTGCCCTGTAGATTGTCTAACCAGACTTGAGCCAGCAAAACAGCATCAGATGGGAAAAGCCATTGAAATAACCACATTAACACCTTGTGTGCAGTACACAGATCCTAGCTGTGATAGCATTTAGTGTCACAGCATGAAGTGCCAGTATCTTTAAATATCTGCTTCAGATATCTCTGATTAACTGCTGATATATTTAAATGTTTCCGTTTATTATTAATAACTATTCATTTGAAAATGTGTTAAGCTTTAAGACTGTTTTACATTATAGATTAAAAAAAAAAAGAGGCATGGTAATTAATACTTCCTTCTTCAGATTACTTCCAGCATTTGTAAATTCTCATTAATGTGCTCTTTTTGTGTAAATTAAGCCATCCACAGTATTTTTCTGTTGGGATTTCTAGAGATAACTGAATTAATATATCACACACTAGGAGTTTGTCCTTTTCTTCAACCTAAAGATTTATTTTCAATTTATCTTCAATCTAAACTGAGTTTTCACTTTTTAGGCCAAACTGTCAAGCCATCTCTTCATTACTTACAAATAAGTTTTAAAATATTAGAGAGATTAATTTTGGATACATATGTTTTGGTAGTTTCAAAATACTGATCAAYGTGATGCTCAGTGATATTCGATCTTATTTATTTCATGGCCATTTTGCTTTTCTGGCCACTTATGTATGGGAGGAAAGTAGCTAAATTACCTGGTAAAAGTTCCCCAAATAATACTGACTTCTTTATTGCTTGTTTTTCTCTCTGTGTGTGTGTGTGTGTGTGTGTGTGTGTGTGTGTGTACTTATGTGGGGGGTGTATTTTTAGTAATATCAATGTATTTGATGTACATAGCAAATATTTTACAGAACAGTACAGTTTTGATATGGATTTTTTTCCTGAATAGGGAAGAAGCACCATCACAGCCTAAGTTCTGTCAAATATGAATTAAAATCATACAGTTTTCCCTAAAATTCTGGAAGAAGATAAAAATATAAAGCATACAAAGACATAAAGCAGCACCATGCAGTATTATCTGTTATGCTTAAGAAAGCAGAACTTATAGTGGGGAGAAGCTGTAATTTCTCTTCTAACCTGTATATTGGTTGTATTAGTGTACTGAATACTTCTGTATCGTATGACAGGCACATATCTCTTCTCTCTCCTGCTAATCAGACTTGTGCTAAGTTTCCTCCTTGTGGTGTAGATCCAGATGGATTCAGAGCTGCCTGAGAGGAGGAGCAGAGAAGTGCCACTTAGTTTGTCCTCAGCTCTAGTTATGGACATGCTCATTTCATCTGGCACGTGCTGGTTTCTAGCCTCCAAGGCAGCAGTGTTGAGAGAGTGTTTAAGAAAAGTTTGGAGTAAATGCTACTATTATTTCACTGCTTCATCAACTGATCAATGTGACAAATCTTTGTGTGCATGAGTATGTTTGCTTTTTGTGCTTTAATTTTCTTTTTTTAACTAGGAATATGAAGGAATGAAGACACATCTAGAGCAGTTCACATAGCTGTGATCATACATCTTTATACTCTTTAATTATTTTATTCCTTTAAATTCTAAGTTGAAATTCTTTATGAAAGTCTTTGCTTACGTATGGGATGACTGCAAAAGTAGTTGGCATTTTCTGGTGCAAGGTGTTGTCAGTAAATGGTGTGTGGGTTTTTTCTTTCCCTCGTCAGGTGCTGTTATATTGCTTGGAAGAACCAATATGTTTCGCTTTAACCACCCCAAAGAAGCTGCTAAGCTAAGAGAAAAAAGAAAGGTGAGATCGAATGAGTTGTTTGCTTGTTTTTGCTTCACATAAGGATGATACTTTATTCTTTATTTTCAACTTCTTTATCCTTTCTTTTCATCAAGTGAAAGGGAGAGTTTGTTTGCAGGTTTGTTTGAAGTGTTTGTCTAATATTTTCACTTTGTGGTCTGTTGTCAGAGTGGGCTGCTGTCTTCCTTCAGCTTGTCTATGACAGATCTTTCAAAATCCTGTGAGAACCTGTCAGCAGTTATGCTTTATAATCCAGGGTGAGTAAATTCTGAAATGCAGGTGTATAAATTGCACCACTTCTCCTTTTCAGTGGTTGGAATGCTTCAAGTGGCAGTAATAGAAATTTCTTTCTCAAGTTAATACTACGTGCATGCTAAATAATGGGCTTCTGAATAAGAACTTGTCAAAAAATGTATTTGAACTAATATTTCAAGTCTGTGCTGAAATATGGCATAAAAGGACATTGAGGAGGTTTCCATCACGCTGCAAACCTGCTTTTGCAAGGGATCCACTTCTTAAATGCCACAAGAACAACTGCATCAGCACACAGATAGATCTGAGACTAATCAAATGCCTGGATTTCAGGAGAAAAAGTTTGGCATTATAACCAAGGCCGTCCAGCACCATTATGATACCACAAATTTTACGTTTGCACTTTCTTGAGAATTACAAGCTCTTTTTTCCTGAGCAAAATGCATTGTAAACTGGAAATTAAAGAAGGTTTCTAAAGCTCATTTAATACCAAAACAAGCATAAAAATGCCCGAAAATTAGTGTCTTAGGTTCTCGTTTATATACCTATTAGTAAGTGGCTAGAGTAGGATAAGGAAAGCAATTTTATTATACAGTTAAAATGAAATAGAGTGCTTGTTGTAGATAAAGTGTTTTTAATGTTTTTACCAATGTTCTTAAAGTGTTTAGAGGTGATTGGTGGTGGTTTGTTTGTTTTGTTTTGCCTTTTTTCAATGRCCAGTGCCTGTGTTTTGCATTGAGAATGAGATGAACCTCCTTACCCATCAATGTGCTTTTGAAAAATAGTTCATAAATTGAACGACAGCCTTGAATAGTGCAGCTTTATTCCTAAGTTTTAACATGGGATTGCTCTGTGTGCAGTAGAGTTTAGGAAGATAGAACAGATGATGCYAAATTCAAGTTAAATAATGTATCGTGGGCATGTTTAATAGTGTTGCTTCCAGTGTGATTGTTGCCCTCTTGCTACTCACAAACAACTCAAGACACTGAACTAGTTGCTCATAGATTTAACCCATCTTTTTCTCAGAGATGAAAGAGAAGGTCAAAATGTAGATTTTTTTTCTCTTTCAGCTTTCTCAGATAAGTTGATCTTCCACTGGCAGTCGCTGTTGAGAGCTAGAGAAAGCTCCTTGCTCTTCYCTTACTTTGGATTGTCAATCTGCTGCCTTCAACTCTTTCCAGACCCGGAATACTGTTATTAATAACATCATTATCCAGCACAATATCARCCTCGCCTTTGCAGGCTGCCTGTGTAGACTAGGACACATTGTTCGAGCATCACTTCGGCTGTAGCCCAGCCACTTCGGCCCAGTTGAATGTAGAATGATTTCCCTGCCAGAGGAGTTGAGATGCTGTCAAATCATGTTTGATAGAGGGGATTATATTTTTGTGAGCCGTATAAAAATGCATCCAAAGTTAATTGCTTCTGGGATGGAATAGATAGCACCAGATTCATTTTGGCTTTGTGTGTTTTGTGGAAAATATCTTCTTGCTTCCTTATCAGATCTTAAACCACCTTATGTTCCTGGAGAGCATACAGTATGTTTCATATCTTTATATTATCAATTAATATATTTATATTATCGGTGTACTCAGTGATTTTCAGAAACACTGCAATTCTTCCTGTTTAGCACTTCTTTTAACTTTCATTTCCCTCCTTCTGTGTCATTATGAGGGAGCTACTCTTGTTGAAACAGAGGTGAGATGATCCTTGTATTCCAAAGCACTTTCCTACCTGAATTTTACTAGGCATTAAACTCTGAGCAGGGAGTTAATTATTGATACTCCCCTGCTCGTCTGCATTCAATTAATCCTTGTGAGCTGACTCGCAAGAATGGCTGTTTTGTCTTGCTTAATTTGCAAATGCAAATTAGGATTGTGCTTAAGGCTGGTTGAAATAMCACAAGCCTGTCTGACTGTCACTTGTTTGCGAGCAATAAAAGCTGTCTGTGGTTGTTCCATTATCACTGTTTTCTAGCTGTTTTTCTCTAAGCAAGGATGCTCACGGTTGTGCATTCATAATTTAGGCTCTTATCCCTATCTTCAGACACTTTCACAATGTTTAAAACAATATATGGCACACCTGATAAAAGACATTACCCACACGGTGCAGAGACTGTCTTTGTCCTAACATATCAGTGATTTAAAAATAGAAGAGTAATAATTTCAAATACAACTGCTTTTATCACTGCTGTAAAGACAAGGCAGCCTGTGAAGCTTGCTGTGCTGCTTAGCTGAGCCTGGATCTTGGAAATCAGGGGAAGAAACCTGTTYCGTTACTCATGTGTCTTTATGGACTGCACTTTGCCTACAGCAGCGTTTCAGGCTGGGGGTCCCTGACAACGTTTGATTTGCCTAAATAAATGCTAACCCTGTCCTCTTTCCATCTGCTCCTTTGGGACAGCACTGGGGTTCTCTTGGTCAGATGGTGAGCTTGTCCAGAGAGGTGATTCTGCAGCRAACATCACTTTAAGGATGACGGGTGGCTACGGTCATGAAGGAAGTGAGAACATCCATGCCGTGTTTGCCACACACCGCAGCCTGCAAATGCGTCGGGCACAGTCATGGTTTAAAGACAGGGAGGCTCCATCCACAACATCCTAAGGAGCTGGACATCGTGCAGGGACCTGGACGTTGTGCAGGGGTCTTCCCTCCCAGCTGGGGATGCTGCTGAACCAGGGCAGGGCCGCGGCGGTTGTTATTGCCAGGGGGTCCATGCTCAACCTGAGCCAAACATATTCAGGGAACCTYGTCTCTGGTCTTGGTCTCTGGTCTTCAAAGGGAAGAGACCTCTAGCAAAGTCATTGGGTGATGAGGAGCATGCTGCCTGCTAGGAAAGGACAGATGGAAAAAGAGTTTGGCTTGGATTTTATTATTATTTAAACAGTAGGAGCAGCCTAAGACTTGGACTACCTGGTTTATTCTTTATAAAAGACAGTAGTATTTCCTCACTCCTGTGTTGACCAGAGCAACTTTCATTGGTTCTTGTAGCTCTCTATAATTGTGTTTTCATATGGCTGTTCTTTGTGTGGGATTTCTGTGCATTTAAGTTTGCTTGTTGATTGCCCGTATGTGTATGTAGGTGCACAAAATTTTGGTTTACCCTGCAGAATTCCTTGTACTCCTGGTCCCCGATCTGTGTCATTAATCTGGTGTCATGCAGCACAGCTTCAGCAAATGAGCTTTAAATAAGTTTTACTCATAAATCTATTAAAAAGATTTGTGGATCTTTTGTAAGTTCTGTTACAGTAACTCTAAAACCACTCGTGGGAAGTCTTAACCTTCTCATGAATGTAGGTTTTTTATTTAGTTTTATTAATCATACAAATTAAGCTACTGAAGTACTGTTGCGCTCTCTTTGTAGCCTTGCCAATATTCAGTATTTCCTAACACATGTACGAGCAGTTCACACTTTTGTTCTGTGTAAATCAAGCTGCTGCAGGATCGTGCTGGTGACACTGGCTTCCTTTTCTCTGCAGCTTATCTGCRCTCTTCTTATCTCTATATATGCCACATTTCCCAGGAAAACGGTGACCATTTAATTCTACCCTGATCAGATTGAGTTTTTTTGTGGCAGTTCTACAAAAGAAGAAAGAGTAGATTCTGGTCTTAATATCTGCCTTTGTTGTAATTTCAAGATAATACTTTTTTTTCCATTCACTGCAACGCTCRCATTTATTAAAGGAGTAGAAGTTATGCGAGAATATTTTTTATTAAGGAGAAACCAAAAGAAAATACATCTCCTATCCTGTAACTTCAGCACTGATAAGCAGTTGGAAGCAGATATTGCAGAGGGCTAATGATCTCCAAAGCAGAAAGCTGCCAAACAGACTGTGCAAGTGGGCAGCCAGGTAAGGGAAATGGCCATTGCTGGTGTCCTCCTACTGTGAGGGCTGCATCTTGAGGGCTATTGATGCCCATGGGTGGAGATGCCTTGACTGACCCTTCGGTAGAAGAGCCTCCAGTGGAGCTCAGACCTTCTTGTGCATCAGAAAGTCTACACAGCAATAAGATGCCAAGCTGCAACAGACCTTCAGATCATGGGGCTACATTTTATTTGTCTGAAAGGCATTAAATATATATATATTTTTTCTCATTTCTCTTTTTTTTTCTCATTTTCTCATTCTCATTCTCATTTTTTTCTCATTTTTTTTCTCATTTCTCTATGAGAAAATTTTCATTCTCATTTTCTCTATTTGAGAATTCTCATGAGAATTCTCATTTTTCTCATTTTTCTGGCTGTGGATTGCCAGAAGTATTGGCAGTAATCTTTTTTTTTTCTTTCTTTTTTTTTTTTTTAAAAAGGGCAATATTCCCTTAAGAAATAACCACTTCCAAATGGTTCCCATCTTCATAACTAGCTTAATTTTTTTTTCCTTTGTTCTCCATCTTAGATAACTTTGTGGATTTTCCATTGGGGTTACAGCAATTGTGATAGAATTAAAAATATCAAGTGCTTCTCCTCTCTCCTAGTACTGTAACTTTTACCTTAATGTAAATGTGAAGTGCTATTGGTAAGATATTTATATGAAGGTGTGATTGTTTTGAATTGTGTATTTAAAAAATAAATGCCCTTTTTGAAGTGGACTTTTGAGAAATAAGAGAAAATATAAATATTTAAACTTGTGTTTCTCCATTTTCCAAGTGGATGGAAACATCCTTCTTGAGCATTTATGAATGGAAGTTCAGTTATCTTGCCTTAGAAACATGATGCTACTATGTTTTTTTCCCATACTTAATGAGTTTTTCATTTCCATCATAGGCACAGGTATGATTTCAGAAAGACATATTAAATGTATTTAATTTTTTTTAAAAAAAGCTGTCTACGTAATTGCATTCTTATGGTRCATTCTTGCTATTTTTTAATAGTTTATAAGCTCGATCACTAACCTACAAATTGGTAGTGAGTTTGAAATAACTGTATGTATCTGCATTTAGTTGACTATTTTTATATATATGTATATGTAGATAGATAGATATGTTCTTAAAAGAACTGATGACTTTTATTTTGGAAAACATGCTTCTGAAAACTTGGATTTTTCAAAGGCAATTAAATCAAAGGAGGAGTTCTTTGCAATGGTAATATGCACYAAAATTAACAATAACAGAAAATCCTCTCCCCTAAGTATTCAGCACTTTGTGAAACTAATTAYGTTGAAGTCTCAAAGTATTTTAGACAAATGGGTTTGTGTCTCATTCCRTGCTTGGATATTCCACGTTGCATGAAGTTTGAGAGCCCTGCTGATGAGTTTGAGCTGTAATGTGATTGACTGCTCCCTTTAACCTCWGATCAAGCAAAATGTTGTCAAATTTAAAATATTCTTTATTGCTAATGTGTGTGGGTTTGKTTTTTTTCTATCAATTCCTTTCTTAATCGATCACTCTGTTTCCSTCTACCTCCCATGGCAGTCTTTTCCCTGTGAAAGGACCCATCTGTCTAAGGTAGAGAAATTCAATTTCTATGTATTGATTGCCATGTCTGCATGTAGTTAACTTGCAGAAGCTCTGCTAATCATTAATCTGTCTTGTTTATCTCCATATTTTTTTCCCCTCACTTAATTTTCTGTTCCTACACCAGTGTCAGGCAGCATGATATCTAATTTGTAACCTTAATAAAAGAAATATTTTGTCAGTTATTGTAGGCAGTAGTTTTATAAAACCTTTTAATTTCCATCATTATAACAATCCTTTAAACTGGCACCATGAATTGTACAGTATCTTCATTTTCTTGATGTGCATCTTTTTTGTAAAGAAATAATGCTTTTTATTGATTTTTTTTTTCTTCTCCTGTATTTAGGCTAGAATTTGAGAGGCAACAACGAGAGGAGCTTGAAAAACTGGAAAGTAAAAGGTAGCTTTATTCTGTTTTTTATGCGTACGTGTGTGTGTGTGTGTGTGTGTCAAAGTGAAAATATATTAAATGTAAAAATAATATGAGTATATATATATATATATACACACACACACATACCCTTGTGGGCTCATTTAACCATTAATTTTGAATCACAGCACTAATCAGCAGGCAGAGAATCATGATTTAGATAATTTTATCTTGTTTTTCTATGGAGGTTTCAAATACCTTAATTATTTTCTTGAAGAACTGTTGATTCTCACTGATTGGTAACCAGGTAGACATGCTGAGCTGTAGCTAAATGTGATCTTTAGCAAAAGAAATATAAGTATCAAGAAGATGTGCTGTCTAAATGTAAGTTACAGTTCTCCTTCCCAATTTCCACAGTATTATTTTAAAAGATGGCAAATAACTTTTTGTTTGTTTTTAACTTGAGTTAGCTTTGGATGGATCCTTAAAGGAAGGTAGAAAAATACCACTTCAAACTCTGCTTTTTTTAAAGTAAATAAAACTACAGTCATAGACTTATAGAAATGAGTTTGAAAGACTAAGTAAGGTCAGTTGATGAACTGAACTGACTTTTCTGCCTCATCGTACCTACTAAGATGTTGAGAAGCAGTTGATCTCAGCACTTTGCAGATCAGTCTTGCTTAGATAAACTGAAAAAGTCTTTCTGCCTTCTCAGCTTTAGACTGCTCTCTCAGTTTTGAAACATCTGCCTATATAATTGGACTGAATTATGTAAACTCAAAAGAATAACTCCGAGCCATTAGAAGCTGTTTTTAAAAAAAAAAAAAAAAATACAGCGAAGACACCAATATTTTTCTTTTCAGTTGTGCTGATATGATTTGAATTCAGATTCTGATGATGTTCCTTTGCTTCTATTTTAATTTATCAGACTTCTTCAAAACTGACACATTGTCTTTATCTGTGCTCAGGCAATTTTATTAATGGGAAAATTGTAACAAACCTTCAAGTCTCGAGTCTCTTCTCACTTGGAACCCATTAGATTCTCTAAAATTTGATCACAGAGAACAATTACGTCTTAAGTAATTTCTTCTCAAATGAATCCTTGTCCAGATCTTTGAATCTTAGGGAAATGCTGTCTTTTGGGGAGAAAAAGAGGAAGGTTTGAAATCTCCTGTGTAAATATTTTATTGTAGGAAACAGATAGAAGAAATGGAAGAAAAGCAAAGATCTGACAAAGCAGAACTTGTAAGAATGCAGCAAGAAGTGGAGTCGCAGCGAAAAGAAACAGAAATAGTACAGCTGCAAATTCGCAAACAAGAAGAGAGTCTGAAACGGCGAAGTGTTCACATTGAGAGCAGGCTGAAGGATTTGCTGGCTGAAAAAGAGAAATTTGAAGAGGAGAGGTTACGGGAGCAACAGGAGATAGAGCTTCAAAAGAAAAAGCAGCAGGAAGAAATCTTTGCCCGGGTGAAAGAAGAGTTGCAGCGACTCCAAGAACTTAATCATAATGAGAAAGCAGAGAAAATGCAGATTTTCCGAGAACTGGAAAAGCTTAAGAAAGAAAAAGATGAACAGTATATCAAGCTGGAATCAGAAAAAAAGAGACTTGAAGATCAGGAAAGGGAGCAGGTGATGTTAGTGGCTCATCTAGAAGAACAGCTTCGAGACAAACAGATCATGATAGAGCTACTGAAGAGAGGAGATGTTCAGAGAGTTGAAGAAGAGAAGAAGGATCTTGAAGATATTAGGGAATCTCTTTTGAAAGTCAAGGAAGCCCGATCTGAAGGTGATGAGAACAGCGAAGAGCTTGAAACAGCACAGCATAATTTCATAGAATTTAAAAGAAAGCAACTAGAGAMGTTGAATATTTTAGAGAAGGATTTAGTTCAACAGATGGAACACCTGGAAGAGGAAATAGCGCATGAAAAAGAAGCTTTGGACCACTTAAAATTTCTGTACGAAGAACAGTTAGATACTGTTAAGAAAGAGGATGAAAACTTTGTGGATGTTGCACTCAAGTCTGAAGAGTTTGAGAAGATAAAGCCAGCAGAATATAGGCTGCAATCTAAAGTACGCCAGCTTGAATACCTGAAAAATAATCATTTGCCAGCTCTGCTGGAAGAAAAGCAAAGAGCTTCTGAAGTCCTTGATAGAGGCTTGTTAGGATTAGATAATACTCTCTATCAAATAGAGAAAGAAATAGAAGAAAAAGAAGAGCAGCTGGCCCAATACAGAGCTAGCACAAACCAGCTGCAGCAGCTTCAAGAAACATTTGAATTCACGGCCAACGTAGCTCGCCAGGAAGAAAAAGTGCGGAAAAAGGAGAAGGAAATCCTGGAGTCAAGGGAAAAACAGCAGAGAGAGGCTCTGGAACAAGCTGTCGCCAAGCTGGAAAGGAGGCACTCGGCTTTGCAGCGTCGTTCCACCATCGACTTTGAAATTGAGGAGCAGAAGCAGAAGCTGGCAACCCTGAACAACAGCAGCAGCGAGCAGGCAGGGCTGCAGGCCAGCCTAGAAGCTGAGCAGAAAGCCCTCGAGCAAGACCGGGAACGGTAAGTGTTGGGAGAGCAGCAAGTTAGAGGAACCCCTGAGCAAGGAGTGAATCACCTTCAGCTTCAGGTTTTGCGAGAGCAAATTGTTCTGCTTCCCCATGGTCAAGTTTCCTGGTGAGCCTTGAGTAATTTACCCAGAGTGGAGACTGTTTATTGCTTTTTAAAGGCTTCTTGTTCTCTAATTGCTTTCTGTTCTGTTCAGATGCTTATCTCGTCCCCAGCAGCATAGTATTTCCATTAATCACTGCAGTATTTGAATAATATTTTTTGCCTGCTCAGAAAGCTGAGGAAACCTTATGCTGTGTCTTTTTGCAGCTATTTACCCGTACAAAATTAATGTATGGATGTTCAAGATTTATATCCTGGTAGTTACAGCAGGCTGCCAGCTGTCTCTCATCTGATAATGTGCTCTGCATGTGTATTCAAAGTAAACAGGTGTAATTTTTATTATTTAATTATTGGTTTCAAGGCTAAAAGACTAGCCGTAGATCACTGTAAAATTTGATTTCAGCTTTGAGCTTCTGTGATAAATCCACAGAGGCTTCAACGCAGGTCTGTGATGACAAAATCTTTTATGTACAGAAATGTCAGTGTCATCAGTTACATATGCAATAGTTATAGAGTGGCTTTCAGGGTCATCTGTGTCTTTCAGGATATGGGAGGGTCAGAGAGAGGTATTTCAGGTGAGGTTGAGTATTCCTTGACTGGGGAAGGGAAAGAAACCTTTCTGCTTTGCTTTTGGCCCAAGCAATAACCCGTTGGAATTTGTGCATTGAATTTAGGTGGTATGGAAAAAGGGCAAAACCGCTATTTTTAAGAAAATGTTTTTTCAACGTCCAATTTGGTAACACTAGAATTTTAAAATATTGCATTATTTGCACAGTAATGACTTCTTAGGAAAGCATTTGTGATTTGTTTTTTAAAATTCTAGTGATGATTATCCAATTCTGCTTTCATACACATTTCTAACAGCTGCTTGATTAGAAAAATCATTCTAATTAACCCAAAATAAACTTGCCTGTAAACAAATTGATGAGTTCCTTTGTATCCTTTTTCTTCCAAACTATTATCTGAAGATAATAGTTTCTTTCCATACCCYGTGTAGAAGTTACTGCTTCTCTTTACAGAGCTACATTGTGTGGATTTTAGTTAAGCATTTTCAATACAGATTTTTTGTGGTGAATGTTGCTTTTATTTGTCATAATTGTCTTGAAAAGCATATAATGCAGTTTTGTACACTGAGCATCCTACTTGAATATCATCAGCTATAAACAAAGGGATGTTACCTGAAACRAGAGCAGCTCTCAGTCCTGAAGAGACTGCTGGGTTGTGTGACGATAAGTGGGAAAAAAACCCAATAACACTGTAGCTACAGTGCTGTAGCTCAGCTACAAGGCTGAGACTTGAAAAAGACACTGAAGAAGTGAAAAGACGTGGGTTTTTTCTTTTCCTTCCTGCACAAACTATAAAAGAACTTGTAGTCTTTGAGTGAATGGCCCTGGGGCCTGTGTAATTCGGTTCAGGATGTCATTTGTGCATTCACAGGGGTAGCTGACTTTGAGCACTTTGACAGGAAAAAGCCTGAAGATACATAATAATATGTTAAATGTTTTGGCCCTCATTCYAGCTATATCATTCTCATGCATGAGTGTTTTCATTTACAATTTGGAGTAAATTCAAGCCTGTGACTTCAATGTTTTTGGGCATTATCATGAGTAGATGTATTTTTCTTTTTATTTGTCTAGATGTTGTGTGTGATGATGATACATTCTAGAAAGAGAGGTTGAAATCAGTGTTAACCATCCGATTGTACTTAAAAACATCATTCATTTGAAATGCTGTGCAAGCCTAAATCCATCATATCTGCGTAAAACTGTTTTTCTCTAGTTTGAATAACTTATTAAAGAAGCTAGCTTGAATTCTTTCTCACCTCCAGGGAGGACCCACGAAATGGTAACCGGGTGTTAACTTGTATTAGATTTAATGCATACACATTTTGTCTTTATTGGCATGAGATCTGTGGCAATAGCTTGAACATAAATCAAAACTAGAGCCATCCTTCAGGGTCATATCACTTCATATCACTCAAAAGTAACCGGGTGCATCACACAGCTGGTTGGGTTTATAGCTGTAGTAAATGCTACCTTTTGGTAGTAGGATGTGTACAAATCAAGAGAGAACCTATGTTCATGTAATATAATTCTGATCTTTAGAGCTAAATTCGTTTTCCATAGATGTGAACACCCTCCTTGCCATCTCCCATCTACTTTCCCTATTTTGCTGTTGATCCAAAGGAGCAGATGCTTCTAGCTCTTCCAGACATGCAGTAATGATTCAGCCTGCTTCAGTCCCAACTAAACCTCTTCATTTGTCCTCTCCCTTTCCATTTTTCTGTTTTAACTTTCAGGGCAGAATAAAGCAGTCAGAGCATCATACTTCAGAGGTTATATGGCTGAAAAAATTAAATATATGCAGTTGTTGTGAAAGTGTGGAATGCTCATTTGTACAGTTTCTCCTTCTTTTCTAGAAAGCTCTTTTATTTTTATGTTTATATATGTATACTCTGTAGTTTTCAAGTAATGCCTAAAAAAAACAATTACCTACAGAGACAAAAATTACARCAGAAGCAGGGAAGGCTATTACTGTGTTATTAATCTCAGCTACAATGCAAGTGAAAAGTCTGTTTTGTGGGTTACTTAAATTAAACTACATAATAACAAAGTAAGTGATAAATATTGCAAGAAGTGTTTCTTGTTTTGTGCTAGGTGCCTCAAGCATTTTCTGCCAAATGTATCAGATTTTAAATATTCTTATCATGTGCATGAATCTGGCTAAAGTAAAATGTATTTGTTGGAGAAAACGAGAGGTTTCCATTTTGGAAGATTAGTTTTTAGGTGTAAAAACAAATGCTAGACTCTACTTATCAAGTAAATTGAAAAAAAAATACAGAAGCAAGGAGTAGCTGGAAATTAATCTAATTTATGCTTTGTATCCAGCTTACAGATTTTCTTATAAATTTATTTTTACATCATTTTTAAAGTTGTCTTTTTGGGGGGATTAGTATTATCTTTTGAGTTTTCTTTTATAATTTATCCATTTCCTTGTCATTAGAAGTCAAATATCTGAGATCAATAGAGTTCTTAAAGCTTCTTCAAGTAATCTTAGTAGACAGACTAAGTAGAAGTCTTACAAATGAGTACTTTGTTACAGGTCCCTTGCACTAGAAGTTATTGGAAGATTTTTATTTCGCTTAAAGTTGCTGTTGTAGACTGTTTGTCAGTCTCTATTATGCTCTCTAAATTTGCTTAAAGAGCAAATAGGTGTTTTTAAAGCTTCGTAAATTTTAATGCATAAGGTCTTACAAAGAAGTACCCTAGCCTAAGTACAGCACTTGCCACACACACTGTTGGGAGGCCTTGGTATTTTAAAACAGACTTAACTTACATTTTAAGATCTCTTTACAGCCTGGACCAAGAAATTCAGCAGCTGAAGCAAAAAATATATGAAGGTGATGGTGGACAGAAAGGAAACCATGGCATCTTAGAAGAGAGATTTTCTCATCCCAGTTCCCCTACCAGCCCCACGAAGCCCCAGCCGTCCTCCGTTCCACTAGTTGATGATAGGTGGGTACCCTGGGTATGGAGAATATTTTGTCACAAATCCAAAAAAAAAAAAAGCTTTAGAAAGCAATAACTTGAATGATCATTCTCTCACGGTTGGACTGTAATTAAATGCCATAACTGAACTTAGAATAACCTAGATATAAAATTAATTTGCTCTGCTTTACTGAAGTAGCCAGCAGTCTAATCTGTGCTTCCCATGCAGTTTGTTCTTGAATAGAGGTCTGCATAACTGTGGACTTGAAAGCAATTAAATTTTTATGTTCTTATGTTTAGAGTTGCTTCCTATGGCATTGCTTTATGCATGCTAAAAGTGCACAAATTTTATATATATACATATAAAATGTATTATTTTTATGTATAWATATATATATTTTATATGTATATAAATTATATATATATTTTATATATATATTTATATTTTTATATATTATTTTTTTCTTCTCCATTCATTTTACACTTTTTCATACAGCAATTGAGATCAACTTTTGGGACAATCCTTTTGTTTGGAGACAAGGATTTTGTTGTTCTAATTTGCCCATATTGCAAAACTGATAAAAATAGTAACAAACTAAATCCCAGCCTTCTCTTGCCTCATCTCTCTAGCCCTCAATGGTGCTTCTGTAATGATATCTGTGCATAGCAGTGGGCTAACCTGTGGTCCATTAAATTGTCTGATTATATTTATAAATTTTTAACCTAGGCATGTTTAATAAACCATTGCTGAAGAGCCTCTGCTCTTAGYAGAGGAATAAAATAGGGCTAACATTAAGTTAGCCAGTAAAGAATTGTGCAATGTTTAGGGTTCCTGACTCTTTAAATGAGCTCTTTAACCTGTCTTTTTTATTTAAGAATATGCTTTTTTTTAATGTATCCCATAGGATAAATGCCTTCATTGAACAAGAAGTACAGCGACGACTTCAGAATATTCATCAGAGACCTGAGGATAACCATGCTAGACTGTCCTGGTCTACAGAAAGTTTAAAGGTGAGCAGAGCTGAGAAGGAAATAGAGAATTTCAAGGCATCTATGACAGCAGTGATTTAATTTCATTGTTCAGTAAGGTTGAGCTTTTGTGTATTTATTTAATTTACCAAAAAAGAAAACCATAAATTGGAGATTTTAATGACTGTATTACCAGTCTAATAGTCTTTGTAATGAAGATTAGATAAATGGCAATAAGAAGTTGTTAAAATGTTCATTCTATGCTTTTATAGTACATTGACCAAAATCCCAACCAAAAGAATAGCAACTGTTTGCYAGAACACTCACTGCACACAAATGCTTTCTTTTTAAAACTCAGTAGACTGATTAATCAGAAGATTGGTTTAATTCAATTTCAAGACAGTTTTTGAGCAGTATGAATAAGAAAATAGTCCATATCTTCCTATAAATGAACTTGCACAAGAAAGGCACTTTATTATTATTATTATTATTATTACCTGCACCTTTTATTTTCTTAGGATAATGAGAGACTTAATAATGGCACTGTTCAACGCAAGCTGAAATATGAGGTAGGTCATAGTTTGTCAGAATGAAATGATTGTCTTAAATTATGGCATGCCTGGTAATTAAATTTTTTTTTAACATTTAGCTGCATAACTAGAATTTCAAATTCATAGGATGATTAATGGAAAATAGAGACAGCAATATATTTTTCTGGCTTGAATTTTTGCAATGATTTTTGCAGATTGGGCACAGCTTTTTCCTTATTTGAAAGGTGTGTTATGGTGAAGGCTTCTTCCTTGTTTTGTCAGAATTCTTTATTTGGAACAGTATCCGTTTCCCACTTTTAGAGGATAAAGGCTTCTAATGAGGAGAAACTAGATTGTTGAAATTCAAAATACCATTTCATATTTGTGACTTAAAATGAGCTCTCTGCTGGAAGAGTGYTTAAAACATTAGCAATAACACCAAGGGAATTTTCTGAGTGTGTCCTGAAGGTTTAATGTATAGACAATTGTATAGTTTTTCTTTCAAACTGAGTCTTAGACCCCTCCCACAGTATTTGGTTGTCTGGTTGCCTAACATTTTGAAACATATGGCTAATTAAATCTTGAATTGGAGAGTAGCTTCTAAATATCTTTCCAGATCTGAGCCTTCATTGTAGGAGGATGGCCACTCTACTTGTTTCTTTTTCTTTTTTTCTCTTCTTTTGTGAACATTCATGCTGTTTGGAATTTTAYGTTATCTTAATAATATAGGGCTACATTTTCTTTTCTTACTGTAGGAACTTAATATTGCAAATTTGTGGAGGGAAAGGAGATAGCAGCAGGCATATAAATTTCTGCGTTAGCCTTTCATTTTCCTGCATTTTTTTTCTATAAAACAAGTATAAACCAAGTGAAATGGATACTGTACAAAAGAAAAGCTGGGAAGATCAACCATTCCTGAATCAGACCTCAATCAGTTTTGTTGGATTTGATCTCTCAAATTCTAGTTTTCAAACCTAATCAAAATTAAGCTTACATTTAAGAAATGTTCAAAATGGAAGATCTCTTTAAAAGTGTTTCCCTTTTTTCTTTTGAACCTCTTGACAGAAGAGTCAACAGTGGCAGCCGCATTATGGCTTTCCGCTTTTATCTAAAGATGACAGTGGTGCTTCTGAGTTATGTGGAGAGAACACTGGAATAAGAGACCCTAGAACACAGAAGGAATACACAGAGATGTGGAGTGTCTTTTCTAGTCATGGAAGAACTTCCTCCCCCTTTACATCAGAAGATGCGTTTGAAAATGAAGGGAATAATTCAGAACATGAGAGCTTTGCTTGTCTTTATGACACTGAAAGTAACTTTGCTCTGACTGAAAATAGCAGTCCTTTAAAGAGGAAGAGTGTTTCTTACCAGAATGTTTTATCCACTTCCTTACCCTGGCAGGGCTTAAATAATGTGCCATACTCACACTGTGGGCTTGGGAATTTCCATCATTTTGATGCTAAAAGCAGCATTTCTCAGGATCATGGCAGACAAAGACCTGAGTCTGATTGTTTCCCCTTGCAGCATCGGTTCCCTTTAGGGTCTTCAACACCTCCTAATGAAGAGGCTCCTTTTAACAGCATGTCTTGCCTTGTCTTTTGTCAGTCTAACACAGATTCTGAAAYAGCCTGTAAAGAAAACAGGCCATTTAATACAGGACTCCGGACCATCCAAGGCCAGCCCAGTAATTCACAGCTTCCAACTGAAAAAGCCCCTGATTTGATCTCTTCTAAGTCAGTAACTCCTTATTTTGGCGTGGGCCCAGAACCAACCTATGGCTTAGGATACCTTTTCAATAAGCTCTCCTGCTTTTACAAAGACACTGGTACTCACCTGCTCAACAGTACCATGATTTCTACTCAGATTAAGGAGCTGGGGAATTTATGTGACAAGAGCGGGAGATGTGCCCAAGTGGTATCATTAATAAAAAAACTCCCATTTGTAAGAAACTTGCAAGTAGACATACTTTTCAATTCAGGTGTGACTCAAGACATATCCCACCCTACAGATGGCACTAAAGCTYCAACTGATAATGGCCTTCAGCTGGAGTCCCCTGTGCAGGAGGATATCCCAACTAGTGCAAGCACGGAAATCTTAAATGCACATGCAGGAAAACCTACTGAAGGATTTGTATGCCATTGTAAAAATGAAAAATTGGAAAACAGTCTTGTGTTAAGACAAAACTTGGTGCATTTTCCTGATGTCTTTTTGAAGCTCCAGGTCTGCTCTCTGGAGAAGGTGCTGCAATATTTGACTTGTGCCTTGCCTCAAATTTGTATTGGCATAGAGGAGTTGAAAGGTGTATATTGGCTTGCTGTTGGCAATTGCACAAGGCCCRATCCAGAACCTGCTTGCTTGCTTTTGTTCAGTTCTGTTTTGTATGTTGTTGTTCTGTCAGTCAAGCCAGAAGTTGGTCAGAATTCTTTGGAAATATGTCATAAGGTTCCAGTCATCACAATAGAAGAGATTCAAGTTGGTTTTGCTGGGCAGAATATTAGACTTCTGTGTTCTGCTGAAGATCGTTTACTCACAATATTTACCTACGACAAACACTTCACTCAACGAATTTGTCATGACATACTGAGTGTTTTGATCCCTGCAACAGATGATGCTGTTTATTTAACTCACCAGCTCTTGAGAGGTGATTTGTTGCAGATTTCACTTGACTGGGCGTCAGAAGTAAACGACTTGGTTTTCCCAAATGGAGTACGATTATCCTGTAAATTCAGATCTGTGTTAGCTGATCTGGTCTACTTACTCCATGAAAACATGGGAAGCAATAAACCTTCATTAGGTGATGTGCGTGTGCTGCTGTATACCACAGTGAAAAAAGACTGTTTTAAGCAGGCTGTATATAGATCTCTGATTCTTACAACTACTCACATAGGTGTCTTGAGGGAAAATGTCTTTTATTCTGCACCGAACCTTTTGAATACTTCATCACAGCGATCACAGTTTGACAAGCTTCAGTTGTACAATTTGAATGATCTCCGATGTGTAGTTTTGCCAGACAAAGAGAATATGACAAAAATTGAGCTTGTCTTTTCCAGAAGAAGAATGGCTGGATCTGATTCAGGAACTGGTTTTTCTAAACACGGTGAAAAAGAAGTAAATTCTCAACTGACAGTCATTCCATCAATTCTTCAGAACAGTTTGCATCTCCCTTCAGAAATCTGGAAATTAACATTCAGTTCAAGTGAAGAAGCCATTTGGCTGATTATGCATCTGACTAGGTGTTGAAAACCAAAAACATTTTAGCTACATTCAAAATAAGAGGTAATGAGTGCTGGTAAAATACTCTTTAATCAATAGGCAAACCAGTCCTTTGAGGCTTTAAGGGAGTACCCTGGGATGTGGAGACACCTCTTACCAACAGTCCTTATTGTTTGATCGTTGCTCTTGGTGGCTCTGTGATATAATTGTACAAACATTTCCTTGGGAAGATGAGGAAATTAAATGCTTCTATTTTGTATGAGAGGTGGATCAAAGCTATAATTACAGCTGAGTATTCAGATTTTTATTTTGGATGTTTCTGGCTCCCTCCTTATCAATCTTAATTAAGCCTTCTACATTCCTCCCCTCGTTGCCCTTTCTTTGATCTTTTTGACTCACTTTATTTTTCCTGATTCTCATCTATGTCATGTCCTTGATTTCAGTGTTTCATGAGATCTACAGTATATTTTGTACACTTGAACTGCAAAGAGTTGAAGCCTACAGTACATTCATTCTCTGCTGTTAATGCTCAGGATGTTTGTAGTTTTCATACCTTGAAATTTTGGGAAAATACCATTGACAAGGATTTTGTTTTGTGCTTCATAGCTTCAAATTCTCTTTCATTAAAGTTTATCCCAAATAGAAAAGGAGTTACGTGTGCCTTATTCAAAGCCAGGCTGGTTGCACCTGCAGGGACTGATGGATGTGCCGTGTCTCTTTTCTCTTGGGTTTGCTGCCTTTGCCTGGAGCCAGGACGTCCAGGCCGGGGTGAACCATGGAAGCATCAAGAGAGCAGCCAAAATGCAGCGAGCATCCAACACTGTATTGGTTTCTCTTTTTGCAAGGAAACAATGCATAGGTTATTTGAGTCATTCTTTAATTTTTCCAAATAGCTAACTCCCTCGCAGAAGAAAAAGTCTGTAAAGTCATTTGATGTGAGTTCTTGAGGGAAATGTGATGTGCAAATGCAGGTGCTTAAGTGGTGCAGATTTGCACTTTGAGCATTGGTCACGCTACTAAAACTGTGGTAGCGCAAAAAAAAAGGAAATCAGGGTTTGTCATTCGCGTGCGTTTTTCTCACATTGTTAAATGGATGGTTAGTAACTGGGGATAATGCCTGTAGGATGGAGTAAGTTTAACCCACAGGACGAGTCGAGTGTCCAGCAAGAACTTCTCCCTTTTCTGCTCGCTTACTATGTGGTTGATGGTGCTGAGCGATGACATCTCTGACTCTTAACTTTTTCTGTTCCAAGAGCTACTGCAAATACAAGATTTCGGTTGTCAAGGCTCTTCTGAAGCTCAGTGAAAAACGAAAACAACAACAAATACAAGCTCTTCCCTCTCATCTTTCATTTYCTCCCTTCTAGCAGGAGCTGCATACCTTGAAATCCCCTTGCTTGAATGTGCCATCTGCCTCCTTTGAGGAAGATGGCCCTTGGCAGAAAAAATGGTGGTATCTCATCTGAAATTCTAAACTGTGTGCACATGCTGCCGTAGACTTGCAGTCCTCTGTCAGGCCGAGTTAGACTTCTGTCTGTCTACGAGTGTAAAAACATTTCCCATTTGTTCTTACCGTATGTTAAAACATGATAATGCAAGTCATTAGGGGTTTAACATGCTGCGGATGTGGAAGTTGGGGCTAAAGAGAAGAAGGGTAGTTTGGGTGGAGAGTTATGATTATTTTGCATAACAAAGCTCTGAACTACCTTAAGGAATTCCAAAGAAAACAGCAAAATATGTCATGTTATTTTGAGGAACTGGGATATTTTCTTTTAATGAGAAACTGTGTGCCAGTATCTCAGAGAACACGATACAGGGTTGTTCCTCCTCAGGATTTTAGTTAGGAAGTGGATCCTTTTTTGACATCATTAAAGCRCTTCTGAGTCTTGCCATATATTAAAATCAAATAGCAATGTCTGGGAAGACTGCCTTGATGAAGGCTACTAAATGACAGTGATTACTGCAACTAATTCTGTTTGAGATGATATCCTAAAGTTAAATGTTTGTGCATGTTGTGTTCCACRTACTGTGGTTTTCCTTTCTGTTTGGAAGTTGTTTTCAAGTCTGACTTGATGGATATTCTGCACTTTTGTGAAAAAAATTAACCCCATTATACATCTTCTATTCCACTGCAAATTAAGCGTAAGCAAATGATGTATATTTATGGCTATCAAAACATTTTTTCATCTATTAGGACATGTTTTTCACGTATGTTTTGTTTGATAATTTTTTTCTTCAGCCATTAGCAGTTGTTTTTTAATAGCTTCATGGAAATGCCTGAAAATAAATTACATGTCAACAGAGGTGGTTTTAAGAGTGACTTTACAAGCTTTATAGTTGTTTTAAAACAGCATATAAATATTGTTGTCAAGGCAATGAACTTTTCTTTCTCCCAAAAAAAGAATTAGTTTCATTTTAACACCCTGTTYACTTTCTTTGGCTACTGCGCTTTCTTTTTCAATAATGTTAAGGAAAATGGCTTTGGCATTTACAATTGACTGGTGAGAGTCACAGCCTCCCCTTCTATGCAGCTTTTTGGTATCCTTGCCCAGCCATCTGTAATAGCRTACAGAGAGGTCTAGGTTTTCTTGCACTGCTTTTGAGCTCAAGGGGAGTTACATTGTGTATACCATACATAAATCTAAAATGCCTTTAGATTTAAATTGTCTCGATCCCCTACAGCTTTGCATGACATTATAAACAGATTTGCTGCATAAAAATGAACACATACAGAAATATTTATAGCTCTAAAGGCTTGGTTGATATTAATATGAGAATTAATACACAGCCTATTGCTTTCCTCTATTTTTAGAATTTCAGCTGAAATTTCTACTTTCTCCATGCTCTCTTTCCTGGCTCTTCTGGGCAGGGACATCCTCTTAATTTTAGTCAAGTTTTTTTTTTTCTTTTCTTTATGTAGTGATTTTTGGTTTTCCTTTATTCTCCCTATTTGGTCTGCATTTGAAAGCGGATGGTCTGTCGTTCCCTGGGAGCAAGTCCAGACGACCTAAAGGACCCCATTAAAATTAGTATTCCACGCTATGTCCTGTGTGGGCAGGGAAAGGATGAACACTATGAGTTTGAAATAAAGGTAAGTGCTTTTTAATTACTTCTCCTTAATATATGGATTCTTTATGTGCATGGTGTTTGCATTTAAACAGCAGTAGCATCATAGTAATAATMTAAATAATAAAAAGCATTTGCAATGTGGATCAGTTGTACACAAGTGCTGGTGGTYACGCTTGGGCTGAGCAGACTTAGTGCCAAATAATTCCATTGGAAGTTTGGCAAAGATCAGGATGAAATGAACACTAGCTATAGGAAGGCACTGTATTGAGATGAAATTATGAAGTGTAGAAAATGATTGAACTTGATATATTTACCTCTACTAATGAAAGTATAATTCAAACATTTTGCACATACCCACAACTTCATTTTCTTGCTCTTTTTTGTTACGATTCTTCCCATTCTCTACTACCCAAGTCTCACTTCTCCCAACTCTTAGCTTCTTCTCCTGCTTCCTAGTGTCTCCCTCTGGTAACCCTCCCTGCTTGAAAGCTGGGAAAATGTATATTCATTGCTCTGCCTTTGGTACTAAGCCAGTGTCTTTTCAAAGCAAGACGTGAGATCTAATTGGAAATGTGCTCGGTGCTGTGGACCTGTAGCATGACTGATCTACATGACATTAGAGACAGAACTGGCAGGTGTCTCCACYGAATGTGCTGCCAGATGCTTCACTCGCTGGTGCAAGTGGGAGGGATGGCCTCTCCTCACGGCACGTGGGACCCTTTCCGAGCTCTTCTTGCCTTCCTCTTTTTTGCATCTTTATTGCATCTTTATGAGGATGGTTGGCCTTATCTCTCTTTGTACTAATTGCTTTCCTTTTTGAAACGTACTGCCTAATTTCTGGATAGAGTACTTCAATTTTGCCTTTTGAACTTTGGATTCGTTGGGGCCAGTGTTAGCCCGGGTGGCTGATGGCAACAGCCCATCAGCCACCCGAAAGAAATTCTAGCAAGTGCCCTTAAAACATCCCCGAGGACAGGCCAAGCTTCTGGACCAGGGCATTTACTGAACTGCAAAATGGTTCATAAAGAGAGGCAGAGTAAAAAGATGCTCTGTCATTTTAGTAAACATGAGTGCATTTCTTTTCTCTCTCCATTCTTCACTGGGAAAACCCAACTGACTTTTTGTAATTTTTTCATAGCTTCTGAGTCTCTGTGTCACACTGTGCTGCTTGTGCTGGGGTCAGGATTTAGCTTCACGCTATAATCCACAGACCTTCCACAAACTTTACAATAGGAGAACTTTGCTCTGGAGGGCTCCCATCTCAACTCCTAGGTGTAATACCTCCAGGTTTGTATTGGAAGCTAAGAAACTAGTAAGACGAGAGCCAGAGGAAAGGATATATGTCTGTTTCTTTTGTACCTTCCTGATGGACCAGGCCATGGTATCAATTGTTGAAATAATTCCTTATTTCAAGCTTAATTTAGTTAGCTCATGTTAGTTTTCAGATGATCTAATATATATGTGTCACTCATGGGAAATGGCTGAGGTATTCCTAATCTCATTTTTTTTGCCTGACTCCAAATGAATTCTCTCCATAAAGTTTCCTTTTCCTCTTGGGAAAAGAGGAACAGATCTATTCCCCTGTAAAAGCACTCTGAAATCTGRCGGAGATGATCGAGTTGAATTGGAAGAGCCCCAAAACTTTGTATTGTAGATATCTATGTAGAAACATTTTCAGCAGATGCTACAGTGTTTCACAGAAGAACAAATCTAAAAAATAGTAAATAGRATTTTTTCTTATGATGTGACATAGTAAAAAATGATTTTCTTATAGTCCAAAAGAGAGAGAATGAGTTCCACACTTGGCAGCTCTGTGACCTGTTTGTAGTTCTTTCAATCCTAACGTAGTGTCCAAATGTTTTCCCTTAACGCAAGCTTGGTATCTTCTCCATCTATGTATATGTAACCTTTGCGGATGGCCAGCAAGATGGTCTCAGAACACAAAGGTCTCCACAGGACGCACATCGTACTTGAATTTTTTGAGCAAGTTCTGTTAGAACCTATTGGAGAGCCTTGAAATTAGAAACAAAGTCATATTTTATTTAAGAGTTAGCACCACTTCTTGCAGCAAAAGCAGTCCAGGCCAAATGCTTGTGCTAGTATTTAAATTACTTAAGTATTACTTAAATATTACTTGAGTAAAGTCCTCAAATACTCAGTACTAATAGATACTTTTTCAAATAAACTTCTGTTTGGAAGACAGTTTTCAATGTGGTTTTTAAAGACRTGATGAAGCAGCAGCAACTTAATCAGATCTTACATGTTTATATTAGAGCTGAATTATAATGCCAGTAGCTTTCCTTTGTGTTCTCCCCTTCCTTTCATGTTGTTGTGATGCACAGAAGTTTCAAAGACAAGACCATTTTCGAAACAGCGTGTGGGAAGAATTTTAAATCTGAAAGATTGTCGGCATCTCTTCGAGACAATAGTTGGTTTCCCGTTATCTGTTTAGCTCTCAGTTCTCATATGGTATTTTTTGAGGGTCTCCAGTTACCTTTGAGTTCCCTATAGAAGAACTTCCAAAGATGCACTCCAAAGCACTGGTTGATCAATTCCCTATAGAAGAACCCCCAAAGATTCACTCCAAAGCACTGGTTGACTAAGGATCATGTCACTGTTCTCTTCCACACCTCAAAATACTGGTGTTTCTGGGCAAAGTTGTCCTGGCTTCAGCCAACTTGGAGGGAAGCAGAAGCAGATCTTAGCAAGACATAGTTCCTAAAGCAAATATTGCATGCACTGTATGTACCAAAATTAGAACTGAGAGAAGATTTTTGTTTTCTATCTACGTTAATACCCTCGAAGATTAAGCAAAGAAAGATTCCAAGAAGTGCATCTGCCTAAATGTGGCCATGTAGCCTGTTCTTTTTTTTCCCCTCTTAGCTAGTGTGAGGTGAAGTGGCACTGAATTCCTTTTTGGAAAGTACACAGTCTGACAGATACTTCAGAACAGGCTAGATAATGAGGGACATTTTCTTTCCGAGGGCTTCAGAATTAAGTGAAATATTTATTTTTGTTCTTTTTCTGTGTCTTTTCACTTATATTTGCATGAGGGCAAGGGCGAGCGCATTGATGATTTCTAGGAATTGCCTTCCAGTGGGATCAATAGAAAATAGTGGGTAGATCATTTTCTGACAATCATTGGGCAGAGGAAAAAATGAAGAAGACAAGTCTGTCTCCTTTCAGATTTCTAGTTTTTAGGTTTAGAAATGCACTTCGAAGGGGAAAACAAATAAAACACAATTCTGAGGCAGGTCTTGGATCATGTAAACCCCTAGATTAGCTGTTTTGAAATATTGCTTTACAGCCATATAGCTTTACACCCGTATATTTTTTCATTGAGAAAATATTTTTAACTACTATAATAGCAAGTAACAAGTAGAGAATAAAAGGCCACCCCAATTTACTTTTCCTACTGCCATTTAAAAGATCTGCTTTTTTTCTGGCCCCATGCCCACAGAGTCTGTAATCCTACAAGCTCTTATACATTCTTTATTAAATGGGAGAAGGAATCTCAGACCAAGCTGGTTGTATTAGTTTATAGGAGTATAACAGATATGTGGCTTTTCTTGTTTTGCTCCCTGAGCATCTCGATCAAGTTTTACTGATAAGGTAGCTAAAACTGCCTTTTCAGTAGTCATTTATTAGACATCTTAGGAGAAAGCTGCTGAATAATTGGGTGTTGGAACTGGCTGCAGGCAATTTGGTTTGGGTAAATTCAGCACTACCTTGTCACCTAGACAGCTGTCACATATACAGGCAACAACTTTATTGGCAAGCTTATATATATATATATATTTTATATTTTATATATATATATATATATATATGCTCTTCCCCAGGCTATGGAGCAGTAAGAATCCTGGATGCTTTGTCCTATATTGCTTCCCCTAAAGGCAGCCTTCTGTATGGGGAAAAGAAGAGGTCACTTTTAAAATTCTTGTACAAATGAACTTCCTCAGAGCAAAATTTCACAAATTTGGTTAGAAATGCCAAAATAGAGAATTGAAACAAAACCAGAGCGTAAGTAATGAGTCGTATCATTATTGTATGATTWTCCATTGTAGTCTAATGTTTGTTTAAATATTTAAATAGCAGAGTGATTTATTAAAGTTAGTCAGAACAAAATTGCTAATTGGCTCGTTAAGGACAATACTATACCATTATTCTTGAATTACTGATTGTAACGCTTGTTTTCTGCTTGTTTTTGCCTTATCTGCAAAGTCTGAGACATTGTTAACAATTATTGAGAGAGGGCAAGAGCKTGACTTTCTTGTAAGGAAATAGAGTCCATCATGCAGCTATCTYAGTAGGAGTGAAGTGTGAATTGGAAAAAAAAATACTACTACTTCAAAGAAGAAGCAGTAATCAATTTGTATGAAAAAAATAGTTTTATTTGTGAAAAGCAAAATTATGTGGTAAGGAGGCCAGTCTTGTTTACTCTTATTTAAAAAACAGCAACAAAAACGACCAAACCTGGCTCCTTGTGTCACGTAATTCCAAATAATTTTTCCTTTCCAAAAGACGTGCAACAATTTCATTGTTCTATATTCACCAAGGAAGGCAGAAGGGTGAGGGAAGGATATACATGGAGTTGAAAATGTGCATTAGCTGTTGTCAAATATTGCAGTTTCATACCTTTTTTTTTTGTTGCTGTTGTTGTTATTGTTCCAGTTTCTTTTTCTCTTACTGTTCCAGTGACATTTTTTTGTCTCCTTTAGCTTTCTTGGATTTTAGAGACTTGCTGAGTCTCTAAAAAACTCTGAGAAAGTCTAGAGACTTTCTTAAATTTTATAGACAATTTAGAGAAATTGTATTTTAGAACTCACTTTAGTCCTGTGTCTTTGTGAAACGCATTTAATGAAAATGCTTATTTTTGATCATTGCATAAAATTATTGCTAGACAGTGTAGTGTAACCTATTATAACTATTAGAATAATAAAAGAATAAGCTTTCACGAGCAGGCAAGTTCACTCTCTTTTCTCCTATTCCCCTAAAAGAAGAAAAAAAACCTCTCCCTGCCCCTACAGCATTGCTTGATATCCTTAGATCCCCAGAGCTGCAGAAAGACTTCGATCTAAAGTCAAAGGCTCTCGTCACATCACTTTTATGACACTCTGAGGAATTCCTTTCATTTCACCTAATTTTAGGCAGTGGAAAAATTTCTTTCTCTGCTCCTCCTCCAGCGAACTTCGCAATTGCAGTCAGAATTTGGGGTGTTACTGATGACAGACTTGCTTTGCTCTCCCACTCCGCTCCTGTTGCAAAGCACTTCATTCACAGGGGTATTTCTGCTCATTTTAATGGCAATTCCTATATGAACGGGATGTTCATCAACATATTCATGACCTAGCCCCAAAGCATCATCTACTGAAAGCCAACATATATACGTGTGCATATATACATTTTACTGTACAAATTAGGACCACATTCTGCACAGTAAATTGTTCCTTGTGTGTTTCTGAGAAACGTCCATGTATTATGTCTGTGTTCATGTGTGCACATATATAAATATAAATGCATATATTCTCACATATGGAGGCACTGATTTCATTCTCATGGAACAGCCCCTGACTGGGGTGCTGTGAGCTTTGTAGCTCACCAAGGGAATGGTGATATATTGGGGATATTTTAATTTCTTTACAGAGCTGGCAATCCTCTGCGGTATGTGGAATAAATGCATTCTGTTTTTTTGTTTTGCAATCCGTGCCCTTTATTTAATAAAGGTCTGTCATTATAATGGAAGAGAATTTTAGTAAACCTACAGAAGCTTACGGAATTTAAGGGAACTAAGTATTACCCATTTTAATCTGACAGCCTTGCCTACTGCATGCTTTTTAGTGTTGTACACTGTAAGTTTTTACTTTTTTTCTTTGTTTCTTTTTTCTTTATTTTTTTCTTCTTATACTGTCTAATATAGATAACAGTTCTGGATGAGACATGGACAGTGTTCAGGCGATACAGCCGTTTTCGGGAAATGCATAAAACTTTAAAATTGAAGTACCCGGAGGTAAGTTTTGGTCCAACTCCTTTTGGAGGCAAAAGTGGAAATAGAATCTTGAAAATAGCAGTCTTTAGTAGTCTGCAGCTCCAAGGCCGCTAGATTCAGGGTGGGTTCTTGCACACTATTGCTACACTGAGACCCTGACTAATGGTGCAGCCTCTAACCATTAATTCCTTTTACTAATGATTGGTGCCGCTTCCAGGAGGCTTCTGAGTTGTTCACTGCAAAATACCCGCAGTCAGACCCTGACATCCTGACAACAGCTCATTTAAGAGCAATGTGTTGTTGCACAGATACTGGTTTATGAGAGTGGCTTCCGGGTTGCTGCAAAATGGAAAATTGATCTTTCTGACCACCCGTGAGCCTGAACATTGAGGATATAAAGAGCTGTGCCTGGCGGAGTCTTAGCTCGTKGAATGAGCATTTCAACAGTTTAACAGAATAGTTGGGGCTGGCAGACACCTCTGGAGAGCATCTGCTCCGACCCCCCTGGCTCACCCAAGGCACGTTGCCCAGGATCATCATGTCCAGTCAGTTTTTGACTGTTTCCAAGGATGGAGACTCTGCATGCTATCTGTGTGGCCTATTGCAATGTTCAACCACCCTAATGGTAAAAATGTGTTTCTTGTGGAGTTTTCTGTATTTCAGTTTGTGCCCATTGCCTTTTGTTTTGTCATTTGCCACCACTCCGGAAGGCTACGGCCCCATCCTCTTTACACCCACTTGTCAGGTATTTGTACGTGCTGGTAAAACACCCTCCCCACCTCCCCTCTAATGCTTTTCCAGCCTGAGCAGTCCCAGCTCTCCYGTCTTCCCCTCATATGGGGATCCTCCAATCCCTTGATGATCCTCCATGGACTCGCTTCACTTGGCCCTGTGGAGCCCTGTGACCCAGCACTCCAGATGGGACCTCCCCAGTGCTACATCAGGAGGAAGAACCCTTGACCTGCTGGCCATGCTCTTCCTAATGCAACCTAGGGTAACATTGACCATGAAGGCTTAGGGTCACCTTGTCCCCCAGGCCCCCAAAGGCCCTTCTCTGGGCCCCGCTCTGTGGCTGGTCAGCCCCAGCCCTGCCAGGTCTCTCTCCCCAGGGTGGGACTTGGCTTTTTCTTTTATTAAACTTGTTTCTCTAGGCTGTCAAGGTGACTCCATGTGTTGCTATATATCACCCGCCCCGCCAATTCTGTGTCATCAGCAAGTTTTTAAAATTATAGGTCTTGGTTTCCACAGCTGACTTTTAATTATTAATATTTTGCTTCCTTCTCCCTCTCTTTGAAATAAAACAGTATTTGAACTGATCCTGCTTTGAGAGTTATCACAAGAAACCTAGGCCATATATTCATGAGCAATATATTAAAAGTTATTATTAGGTTTGAGAGAGAGAGAAAATGAATCCGTGCGCAAAGGCTTTCTTGGTCTTCAAAGACATATTGAGGAAACAAATGAGCAAGGAAGGACTTTGAACAAAAATTTTCTATGCGGATTTTCTTTCTGTGTAATTTTCTTTCTATAAACTCCTGGAGTCTGACGTAGTGACACATAGGTGGCATTACTGGTTTAACTACATGGATAATGATTTCTAAATTTCTGATTTTCTTATAGGAACCATATTGTATCTATTAAGATATTTGTTCTTTCCTTAACTACCTACATACACACTGGGGCAAATACCAAGTCTTACAAGTATACTTACCAGTATACTATTTCCTGAACTATGATACTCATTAAAGTGCATCATTGGTTTTGGCTTGTCATGTACTTGAAAGAAACATTTAATCACTTTATTTACTGAAACAATTAATATGTAGCTTTACCATTTTCTTCTTCTAGGCATTATCTTGTCCCCCCCACTTTACAATAAGCTTAGATAAACTCTGAAGCAGGTTCAAATGTACCTGTCTTTGCTATCTGCAAAGCACACTGAAGTTTAGAAGTGAGATAAGGAGTCGATCATGGGATCATCTACTCTTTTTTTGGTGGTTTCCATCCTGTGACTCAGGTTCCCATTTTAGACTCTGTGTTGCTCTCAGCACAAGAGTCAACCCTCGTATTTTGTGCAGCACCAGGTGCTGGGTCCAGCCTTGCTCTGAGGCTTATGGCACTGCAGATGATGATGAGTTTATGGCAGAAGAAGTCCAGCTCATGTGTCCTTTGTCTCTGCTCATCAGCATTTCCACAAACAAGTGTGTCCTTCGCTAGCAGAGGGGACGAGCACCTCATGATGGATGAAGGACATAATTTGATGCACTGAAGTAAGGGGGTAGTAAGGAAAGTAAGGAAAGTAAGGAAATTCATTCTGAGCTACATATGCGAATGATCTATGGCTTCCCATATTTTCACCTTTACATAAAATGCCCTTAATTAATGGTAATTTTGGATTAGTTGTGCAAAGTGGGAGGAGGTTTGGTTTGTTTGACAAATGGAAAATCGTCTATCTGCTTCTGCTGATCTGTCATTGACCTAATTTGGGACTTTGCATGACACTAGAATACATATTAATACGAATTTGGCAAAGTCACTTCCTTTGTTACTATATGTATATAAGTATATATATAGTATACTATATATACTATATATATATATATTATTCCAGGGAAATTTATTCCTTAAAAGTAATGGTATCAAAATCCATCACAGTTGATTTTTATTTTGCATAGCTCACCTTGCAACTCTAAATTAATATTTATAATGAACAGAGAAAATACTGCACACTTGTTTAATGTATGAGTGTCCTGCTTTTAGAAGTGAACTTTACAGCTCATTAGTTGCTCAGCTCTGAGTTACAACATCAGTATTTTAATAATTTGCTGATCTTGCATTTTGTGTTGCTGCCACTGAATTCCCAAAGGAATGTACTGGAAAACTGATTTATTGGGAAAGTTTCTTAAGAAAAAAAAAAAAAA